CAGATCTTCTGGGCTGGACTTCTGATAACCTCTTCGACATTGGCTTGGACTTCATCTTCTGGTAACTCTGTTGTTAGCCATCGGCTGGATTCTACTCCTTCTTCTGGGCACAGACTGAACTCTAAAACCAGAGATTCCTGCATTTGACGCCCTTGTTGCTGAATTTCAGATCCTTCATTCAATAATAAACATTTTTATAAATAAAACTAATCTGCTTCGAATTCTGGGCCCTCAGTTCTGAGTCTTCATAAGATATCTTTATCTTTCATTAAGATTAATGGAAAGAATGATGCTGCAAAAGATGATAAGATGTATTAGGTTGGACTACTCTTTGTTTTTCTTAAAAGTCATTGAAAAATCTATATTAAATTGGAAAATAAGGGACTTTGACATGCTGGAAAAGTGGCCAACATAACTGTTGTTTTTTTATTAAAATAAAATAATACATGGTTAGGATCGTCTGCTCCTTGTGAGGCCAGATACCTGGACTCCACAGGGTGAATTGCTGTTTTATACTTAGAGACTTAGACTTAGATAGCTCTCTTGACAATTTCATCTTATTTAAAAGTGCAGCCTTGAAAAATAGTAAAAATAAATATATAAAAACAATTATATAACCATATGACTGTAAATTTACAGTTCTAAAGTTGTTTTTTTTAATATATAATGATAAAATATAATGAATATAATAAAACAAAATACAAAACCCATTTTACAAAGCATTCATCAGTGTGATGGTGGTGGGGAAGAAGCTGCTGCAGAACCTGCTGGTCCTGCATTGAATGCTGTGAAGCCTCTTCCCAGAGGGCAGCAGGGAGAACAGTCCATGGTGGGGGGGTGAGGGGTCATTGATGATGTCACGGGTGATCAGCTCCCTCTTCACCACGACAGTCCGATACAGCGACCGCATCACTGCCGATGAACGCTCCATGAACAAGACCCCAAGATACTTGAACTCCTCCACTTGAGAGAAGGACTCCCCACCGACCTGAAGAGGGGAGTCCACCTTTCTCCGGTGGAGAACCATGGCCTCGGATTTGGAGGTGCTGATCCTCATCCCAGCCACTTCACACTGGGCTGCAGACCGCCCAGTGCACGTCGGAGGTCCTGGTTTGATGAAGCCAACAGGACAACATCATCTGCAAAGAGCAGAGATGATATCCTGAG